ACACAAACTGTACATTGTTGATGTCATTCATCAACCCTGTTACCAAAGTTACTATATAAAAAAGGAAAGGAAAGGGAAAGTATGTGACGTGTAGCCAAGTATGGCAGTGGATAGTGAACACACACACACACACAAACATCAAGAATAAACATCAACCTGTTAGTTCTTCAGTATCTTCAGTGTGTTTGATTCTGCAGGGCTCTGGATCTCTCATCTTCTCTCTGTCCTCTTTAATAAACTCAGTCTTTGTGTAACGGGGAAAAGAAACTTGTAATGAATTGTGCCAAAATGATTGTTCATATTGCAAAATAATTCTAAGATATTAATTGAATAGAATGTATTAAGTGCATCTAAAAGAAAGGGGTATGGGGACACCTACAGGTGACTAAGGTAACCTATTAGTGGAGTCGGCCATTTTCTCCTCAGTCGCATGAAAGCTGTTGAGGAGAATGGTAGGTGTAAAATCTCTCTCCGGTCGAACAGAAATAAAATGTTATCAGAGATTATTTTATTTCTCTTTGAGGTCAAAATTGTTATTTTAAAAGTATTTTATTTCATATTTGAGTCATTTTTTGAGCCATCATAGAGTTGACGGATAATTGATGTTTTATTCTGAACGCACTGTCGAGTGCATTAGGAGCACATGGTATTCGTTGTTTTTCTGTCTCTGTATTTTCTCATTGCTTATTTTCACACTTATTACGAATGTTCTTATGATATTATATTTTCTATGTTCAGAAAACAACAGAAAAAGAAATTGAGCTCTTAATTATGGAAAGACTGATTTATTGTGTGTTGAACTGGTAAATCAGTCGCATGAAAGCTGTTGAGGAGAATGTTATGAGACCGGATGAGCTGTATTTCATGTCTGTTTGGTGTCATTTCATATATTCCAGTAAACGTGATGAGTGAGCTCAGCCTACGTCTTAGTGTTGTCCTTTCCGGATGGGTTAAAAGAAAGAACCAGAAAGTGGGGTTACATTTGCAGATTTCAGCTCTTCCTGATGATTAGATGGTCGTCTTCACTTGTGAACTGATGGAGATATTCCAGCATTTATTGCTGAATTACTGTGGGAGGAGCTTCACTGATGATGTGTTGCAGTGGGAGGAGCTTCACTGATGATGTGATTACTGTGGGAGGAGCTTCACTGATGATGTGATTACAGTGGGCGCGGCTGATCTACCAAATGCAAAAATATGTCAGTTACTGAGCTTGTTTTTATACTACCGGTAATTGATAACAATACAAAACTGTAAATTCTTTCAAATATAAATAATGGTAAGAAAGACAATTGAAAGCATTAACTCAAAAATAAATGTACAGATTTGTAACCAACAAATGCCCTCAAGTCTGTTGACACCAATGAAATTAGCTTTAATTGACAATTTACAGGAGATCTGAAGACATCAGCATTAAATGAGGTGAAAATAGTATCTTTCTGTGGAGCAGTTTTATACACTTTTATCATATATCCTGACTCAAATAATGTGTTTCTATCAGCAAACACTGAGAATAAAGAGAGATGATCTGCTGATTATCTGAAAGTCTAGTTGAATGAGTGTTGATCATCTGAGGCTCATCAATATTAACAGAGCTATAGTTCTGTAATAGTTCCTATGTTATTTCTCACAATATGCATGGATAAAAACCAAACATCGAAACAATCACACAAATGAACAGACAAAAGCACTCAAAATCGCTCAGGTCTGATTTAATTCCTCATATTTTCCTCACATGCTGCTGCTGCACTGAATGTTTATTTCAGCAGAAAGACGCCAGAAAAGACGCACAAGTAGCGCTGAACCGGATGAAAACAACACAGACATGAGACTGTAAAATGTCGCTTAAACAAACTGTATAAAGTGTGTTTGATAGTTGTGGAAATATTAGAGCTGCTGAACTCTCCTCAGAAGTAGGGATGGGCGTATCGATCCGAAGTATCGATATATCGATAACAGCCAGTCTTCCAGTCTAACATAGCCTACCTGGAACCGTGGCAGACTGAAGGACAGCTTTTGTTGTATTGGAGGTGTCCACCCAGCTTTTTTATGAACAGGTATTTTAGCTTAGCAATAGAATATAAAAACAACTAGAACAAAAGTTGCTAGGCAACAGTGATGTGCATCTTCAAACGCGGGAAAAAGTCGCAAAAGCAGAAAATATACGCCGTCTGTAATGCGAACGGTCAAGCTTTGGCCATTCAAGGTAGAAATACTCAACTCTTTTGTGCTTTGGAATTTTGATAATGTTATAATAAAATATACACACATTTAGGAAAAGTCAGGGTATTATAGTTATATGGGTTTTATTTCAACAAAGTTGTTACATTTTAAAATGTTAAAATGGTCAAAATGACTGCCTTGGTAGTTCTAGTGTTAACAGTTTGTGTCCATATCCATATATCAATTTAAAAAAAAGTTCTTAAAAATAAATCTGAAAAACAGTCAAGTAACAGTATCAAAAAGGACAAAAGGTCCAGTAAACATCTGTAATATCATTGTGATATTTCCTGCTTTAGTACTATAACATTAGATTCTGTAGGAATAAAAACAAAAGCGGGTTTGACCCTCCTGCCTAAGTAGCCAAACATTTCAGTCACAGGAATGAGGCAAGTGTGATTTGCTGAGTATAATGTATCTCTTGTATTGTGTTTACAGTAAACAGTAGAGTTCAGACAGTCAAACACTGCCTGCTTGCAAATGATCTTCTCTTCTTTAGGATGAAGAGGAGAAGATCAGCTAATCATAATGCACTTGCTCTTTCATTTGGTGGTTTTCATGTTTATCTCCTCCTTTCCATCTTTTCCAGATCATCTGGAAATATATGCTATCAGAAGCATTTTATAGCATTCAGGAGGATTTATGCAAGTAGTGCATGCAGATTGCTCTTTTTAGGTGTTTTTGTATGTAATTAAATATAAAAGATACAAAACACTTCAGTCTATTCAGATTATGCTGATTACATAATAGTACTAAACTGCAAAGAGAAATTTAAGGTTGATCAACTTTACAAAACAATTTTTAAATGATTGCAGTAAGTAGATTTACTTTGTCAGTACTAAAACAACTACAATAAACAAATCAAATAAACAAACTAGAAAACTAACAAAAACTAAACAAATGAAAATAAATTAAAATTGAATACAGAAATAAAACTTAAAGAAAACATTTAGAACTGCCCCTTTAGATTTGCAAATCACAGTTACATTTACATTTAGACATTTAGCAGAAACTTTTATCCAAAGCGACTTACAAATGAGGACAATGGAAGCAATCAAAATCAACAAAAGAGCAATGATATACAAGTGCTATAACAAGTCTCAGTTAGCTTAACGCAGTACACACAACAAGGTTTTTTAAATAATATAATAAATAAAATAAAAAATAAAAATAAACAGAGAATATAAAAAGAATAGAGAAGCTAGTATTAGTTTCTTTCTTTTTTTAAATAAAGAAAACAAGCTGTTAGTAAATAGAGTGCAAGTCTAAAAGGGGAAGTTTTTTTTTTTTAAGAATAGAGTTAGAATAGAGAGTGCTAGAGTTAGAGGGTCAAATAAAGATGGAAGAGATGTGTTTTTAGCCGTTTCTTGAAGATGGCTAAGGACTCAGCTGCTCGGATTGAGTTGGGCAGGTCATTCCACCAGGAGGGAACATTTAATTTAAAAGTCTGTGAAAGTGATTTTGTGCCTCTTTGGGATGAACAATAAAGCGACGTTCATTTGCAGAATGTAAGCTTCTAGAGGGCACACAAGTCTGAAGTAATGAATTTATGTAAAGGGGTGCAGAGCCAGTGGTGGTTTTGTAGGCAAACATTAATGCCTTGAATTTAATGCGAGCAGCTACTGGTAGCCAGTGCAAATTGATGAACAGAGGTGTGACATGCATTCTTTTCGGCTTATTAAAAATTAATCTTGTTGCCGTGTTCTGGATTAATTGTAAAGGTTTGATAGTACTGGCTGGAAGACCTAAGAGAGCATTGCAATAGTCCAGCCAGGACAGAACAAGAGCTTGAACAAGGAGTTGTGTTGTATGTTCTGAAAGAAAGGGCCTGATCTTCCTAATGTTGTATAAAGCAAATCTGCAGGACCGGGCAGTTTTAGCATTGTGGTCTGAGAAATTCAGCTTATCATCAATCACAACTCCAAGGTTTCTGGCTGGTTTTGAAGGAGTTATGGTTGATGAGCCTAACTGGATGGTGAAACTTTGATAAAGTGATGGGTTTGTTGAAACCACAAGCAGTTCTGTCTTAGCCAGGTTGAGTTGAAGGTGATGTGGGTTTGCTGGTACCACAAGCAGTTCTGTCTTGGCAAGGTTGAGTTGAAGGTGATGGTTCTTCATCCAGCAAGAAATGTCTGTTATGCTGGGTACACACCACAAGAAAATCGGGCTGATTTGGGGCCGATTTCTCCCCTTCCGACAATCCTTGGTAATTTCCCAATTATCTTGCTGGTTCAGATTATCAGATTTTCCTGTGGTGTGAGGTGTGTCTAAGAGTGACTGAATCTGCTCGGAAGAACGTCAGAGGTGCCCTGATCGCGAATCGTAAATATTCAACATGTTGAATATTTACAATCAGAAATCCTGATGTGTGGGGGGAACATTGTGGCACACCACACACTATAGGAGCAAAACGGTTACATCTAGGACATTTTGTCCTCGTGTTTGTGGTCTCTCACATTTTGAAGATCTTATGATATTTTAAAAATCTTTTAGTGTGTACCCAGCATTAGACAAGCTGAGATGTGAGCAGCTATCGTCGGATCATCAGGATGGAATGAGAGGTAGAGTTGAGTGTCATCAGCATAGCTGTGATATGAAAAAAAAATCAGTTAATGCAACTGTTGATTATGATTGAAGGTGATGATAAAACATGAATGTGGTTTATGATCTGGTGGCTTGATTCATCTCTGGGATGTTTTTACACCTGTTACCTTATCATTAGTCTCATCTCTCTAGATCTGCATTAATTATTTCACCTGTTTGTTGATTCCAGAGAGAGTTTACTGGCATCCCCAGATCTCAAATCGTGGGTCAGTGATGAAGAGCTCTCGGGATTCAATTCTGTTGTTGAAGAGCCTACAGAGATACAAACACACTGCTATTAGCTACAACCCGCTGCCTGTATTCCTCATCTGTAAGTCGCTTAGCATCTGATAAAGTAATACATTTTCACTGTTGAGCATGACAATATAAACTATCAGTTACAATTTTAACACACTTGACCATTTTTTTTTCCATGACTGCTTTTGATCTAAAAGCTTCTGCTTAAATTTTGTTGACAAGTATAAATTGTCCCTATGAATTTCTTTTATAATGGATGCCTGGTGTGATACAATGAATGAATGAGTGAATGAAAAGTGGCAGCAATGTGTTCTTTAATTTGAGAGAAAAAAAAACCTTTAACCCATATTTAATAAGTTTAACCCTCAAATGGTCCTCGTTTAATGTTTACAGTTATGGTCTTTGAAAGAGTAATTGTAAAAAATATATAAATTTTTAATCATACAAAAAATATATCTTTTTTTTTGTTTAATTCTCATCTATACATTAATGCTGTGTTTTGGGAGATATGAAGTACTTTTGTTCCTATTTACCACATAATTCTGCAACTACACCATTAGCTTGCATGTGAAATATTAATTTTTCATGAAAAATCACTTAAATGATGATCTAAATTTAATTTAAGTTGTTTCTGGATATTGATCTAGGTGTTAAGTGTAGAATTCTGCCGTCTGTTGGTTAGAAATAAACCTAAAATTATTAGAGTTTAGGAAAGAAATTGTTTTGACCAGCAGAGAGCCATTCATTTTACTGGATGTGGCCAACTGCTCTTATCACAACTCTTGTGATACATTTTCAGAATCAGAATGAGTTTTTATTGCCAGGTATGTTTACACATACGAGGAATTTGTTTTCATGACAGAAGCTCCACAGTGTAACAGAATGACAGTGACAGAACAAAAACACAGATAATAAAATATAGAAAAATAGGTGTACAGGGAGAAGAGCAGTGGAGAGAGAACACAACCCTGAGGAGCTCCAGTGCTGATCGTACGGGTGCTGGATGTGTATTTTCCCAGCCTCACTATCTGCTGTCTGTCTGTCTGGAAGCTGTTGATCCACTGACAGACGGAGGTGGGCACGGAGATTTTGTGAATTTATGTATATATGAACATTAGAAAAGACATTAAAAATAAATATTCTTTCAAACAGTAGATTTTTTTTAGTTTTTGATGCATTTTGAAATGTCTGGTTTTACAAAATGCCACAGAAAGTTGACAGAAAAAATTCCACATAAGACATACCTAAAGGACAAGACTTAGAGTCAGAATGTAGTTGCATATTATTGATTTTACTTTAATGAACTAAGTGTAAAAAAACAATAATAATAATAACTTTAGAATGTAGAAGAAATTAAATAAATAATATGTAAATAAAGCCAACAGCAATATGCAGAAATCAACAGGAGTGAAGAGTGAACATCAAATAACAATAAAAATTTTTACAATCAAATTCTGTGGCAATCATACCTGTGTGTGTGCGTGCGAGTGAGAGAGAGAGAGAGAGAGAGAGAGAGAGAGAGAGAGAGAGAGAGAGAGAGTGTGTGTGTGTGTGAGTGCGCGCGTCTC